ATTATTTCTATTTTTGTGTTTATAATTTTTGTGTCCCTCAGGACCACCAGTTATGCCTATGTGGGCTCTTTCTTGTCTGCCTTCGGTATTTTCATATTTTCTCTGATTCTTTTTTTTATTCTTATCCCTTTCAATTTGCTCAGTTTTCTCAAAAACTGTCTGCCTTCAGTATTTTCATATTTTTCTCTGATTCTTTTCTTTTATTCTTATCCCTTTCAATTTGCTCAGTTTTCTCAAAAACTGTCTGCCTTGTCCCTCTCTGGGTATTAGCATTGTCTGTTCTCCTTCTTGGTGCCCTTGCCCTGTGAGGGTACCTCTGCGTTAGGCTAAAGTGAAGTCTAGAAGGAAAGAATGAGGTTTCTGTCTTCTTGCATGGTGTGGCCAGTGGGGAGATGCTTTGGATCAAACATGGAGAACACAGCTACTCTAGAATAGGAGATGCTTTAAAGTGTGTTCTAGGTTGTCTGAAACTCCTTTCTGCAGAGGTAGATCACTACATTAGATCATATGTACATTCTATATGGAAAAACAATCTGTCACGATCTCTTTCTTGCCCTTATTGCCTGCAACTAAAATCGTAAACTTCTCAACCACAGAACACTGCCAAGAAACATAACAAAAATGTCAAATTGGATTCAGATCACCTCTCATTACATTCAAATATCCTTATAGGTAATATTAACCTCGTCTAGCTCCATTCCTTTGAAATAATCTCATTCCTTCGTACCCTCTTTTCCCCTGCATAATGGGTTTGAATACTGTTTAGCTAGAATTTGTGCAGTTTCAAGTGAGAGAAAACAACTTCCAGCAGATAAAGCAAAAGGAGATTTTACTTGCTCCAGTAACTAGTTATCCCCAGGAGTTCTACCTTGAACTCAGGATCCAGGGATTCAGATGAAAGCATTAGGACTGTATCCCCATCTCTTAGAGCTCGTTTGAGTTGGCTTCACCGTGAGACAGGTTATTCCCAAGCAAAGGCGAAGGTGGCTAGGCTCATATCACCCTTCAGCTTGTTCGCTCAGAGGAAAGAGAACCTGTAAGAACTCCTGAAAGGATGACGATTGGACTTCCGAACCGGTCACTGTGGCTGGCCTGAATCACGTGCACCCAGGAAAAGAAGGCAGAGCCTTACTAAGGTCTCCCAGAGATGGAAAGAGGCAGTTCCTAAAGGAAAAGGATGCAGAACAAGGGGCAAAAACAAGCAAATAAAAAGAAACACACTGGCCACTACAGAGACGTTATGTGTTGGTAATTTTATAACTTAATAGGCCTTAATGATTTTCATAAGTAAAAGGCCCTGGGTAACGGAAGACTTATATTTCTTGAAAAGAGAGTCTAAGAAGAGGCTTCTGGACCAAATGGCTACAATGCTTGGAAAGAGCTATCTCCTCAAGCCCCACCTCTCCACCCCTTTTCCACCAGCCAAGGAAAGCTCTGTTGCCATTTAATCAAAGTATTCTTTCATGAGAGACTAAGTGTTATTAGGTAGTCCTATCACATAATTTAACCAGGATGCATCTTTGTTATGTATGAGTGGACACAAGGGATTTTATTGCAAGCATTAAAATATCTGGACTGTTTTTCCTGCTATCTACCCACCAAAATAGTATCCCGCGCCCCCCACCAACTACTTTGCTCACATGCTGCACACTGTCCCACATTCTTCCACTGGAAAAGGCAGCAAAGCTGCTCATATATGGTGGCTGCATGCTTTTATCATTGCTTTTCTTCCCGCAACGACCTTACTTGCTTTTTGCGCTAGGTTGCTGTCGGAAAATTTAAAACCTGTCTCTGGTTCTGCAAGAAATGTCAGTGAATGAAGAGGAGAATCCAGTAGAAGATAAAGATGATTAGAGCTGCTTGGCAGGCATTTGCTACCAAGGAGATGAAATAAAGCAATTAATTACTGAGAGACATCTAAAGAGCAATTGGTGGTAGGCATTTCTTTGTTCACTGCATCTGAAATCTTAGCTAGCTTAGCTTTTGCCTCAAAGAATTATTATTTTTTTTTCTTTTGGGTCTAGCAATAAAAGTATTAAGGTCATTAACATAAAGTGTTTGAAAATGTTTTTCTTTTTTTAGCCACTTGTCTTTATTACTTCACTGGCTGAAAAAAAAGTCACGAAAGTCATATTCAGATCACACTGAATTTACTGAAAACTTGAATTGTATAACTGCTATAGCATGGTTTCACTGTGAAGTTAAAATTCCTTGAGAATATATTTTTCATTTATCTCCCAAGAAAGATTTCATTTTTGAAAGAAAATAACTTTAATAGCATCTTGATATATTTCTTTCCAGACTTTTTTCTGATTTTTGTGTGTACTTGTGTTTTACTGCAGTAAACATCTTTCTACATACAGCTTTGTATAGTCCTCAAGTATTTTCCTTAACATAAACCCCCTGGAAAGAAGCACATGGTTATCAACTACCCTGTCCCAGCCCTGTGCTAGGACTTGGCAAACCTATCTCACTTAGTCCCCTGAAGCCTGGATGAGTAATCTTGGAAACAGAAAGCAGTGTCAGTAGCTTTCTGGATGTCATACAGGTTTCTAATATAGGTCCATCTGACTCCCAGATCTTTACCTTTTCAAGGACACCATATCTATGTTCTCTCTGCAATCAGCAGATGGTTAGGAGCGGTCTCTGGAGGCAGACTGCCTTAGTTCAGGTCAGATCTACCACTTACTTGCTGTAGGACCTCAAAACAGTTAACCTTCTTCTCTGTGCCTCAGTTTCTTCATTTATGAGAAGAGAAACAGTAAATGCACAGGCCTCATAGGGTTGTTGTGGGATTAAATGAAGTAATACATGAAGACCACTTAGAATAGGGTCTGACCCACTTACCTTTGAAATAATCAGTAGCTGTTGTTTATATTTATTATTGTTAGTGTTATTATTACCACCATCATCACAACAATTTTTCCCCAAACTCCATGGCTTCCTGTGTCAATCTAAGGTGGAGGTGGGTCTGGGTGACTTCTCCATGCAATGCCTAAACTTCATTCTAATACTGTTATTTTATGTCTGTATTTTCTCACCTGCATTCTTCTGGACACAGCAGAGAGAGGTGTTTCAATACGTAAAACTGGTATCTTTTCTCACCCATTTTGAGTATGACAATCTGCTATCTGGGTAAAAGATGCAGCTGATGGACACTGCTGATTTTCACACAGTCAGTCACAGGGGTAGCTTGACCTGTGGGGCTACTTGGTAATTTAAGTGAATACCTTAGCAAGAAAAAACACTGAAAAACCAGCCCAACTGTTGACAATGGCTTTCATCTTATTTTCCATTTTTGTTATCTCTTGGTTGCTGAGTTTTTTTTTTACTCGGGGTTCAACATTATCTTTCTGGAGGGACTTTTTGCAGAATTCTTGATCACAGGAGGTTTCTTTGAACTTGAGTCCAAATTTTAATTTGCAAGGAAACTGAAGCAGATGAATTTTCTTATTGTAAAAAAATGAATGCCTCCATGATATATTTGTTTTTCTTATTAGGCTTCAGTCACTAAGATTGATGCTTGGGGATTTATTGTTAGATCTTGTGTGGAACAGAAAGTTATTACTCATAGTTTACCAGATTTTAGCATACTTGCATCACAACACGGCATATCATTTTACATTTAGTATTGCAGTCAGGGCCATTATCAGATTGCATTTTCATATTGAATTACAAACAAAAATTTTATGCTACTAACATTTAATGAAATTTTAATAAGATTGTGTTTTGGTGCTATTATTCAAATAATGTGTTTTGAATTGCTTCCTTTGAATATATTTGCATTAAAGAGGAACTCAATTTGATTTGGTTCTTTGAAGAGTTTACCCACTTTCTGGGTAGCTTTAAAAAGACAAAGAGGGAAATTCAGTTTCTTCTTTACAAGTCAGTAAATAGAAAAGCAACACATTTGCTAAAATCTGTAAAAATAGTGGCAGCAGATTGCAGATGGTTTGAGTTAATGAAATGACTCATGTTGGCTATTAGAGTTGCACAATTAAAAATATATATACAAAGTGCACACATCACAGATTATGAGGGATGATACTCCTGGGTTCTCTTTTCTTTCTCATTGAGCCCTAAGGCTGATATATTAAGAATTAAGAAATTTAAGAGATTCACATTATTGCAATTCTTGATCAGTGATGCCCAAAATTAAATGGTAATCTCTTGAGAGAGCACATTTCTGTTTGTAGCATTCTTCTTACCCATTTCTGCTACAATCGTAGTTGTGGGCCCAAAGGCAGTTTACATGAGCGTGTGCTTTCCAAAGACAGAATCATTTGACCAAGCAAAAACCCCTCACTGAAGCGTTCTTTATGTGGCGGTTTTGTTGTAGTTGTCTAACTGATGGAGTTTAATGCATAGAATAGAAATACTGAAAGAGTGAAAAGATGGGAAAAGTCCTGCTTGCAAGGCAAGCTCTCCCTTTACCACATTCGTTTTTAATGGTCACTTAGAGGCATTAGAGAAAGTAACTGGTGGTAAATGCTTAAGAGCTTAAATTTAAGGGAGGGGAGGGAGTAGCGAAGGCAAAGCCAACTAGGAGTCCTCCAGGTCTTTCACTCTTTTTATGTCCAGTTTTGTGCAGAAAGAAATGATTCTGCTTCACTTTCACGCTCTCACCTTCCTCTTCACCTTTTTTCTCCCACAATTCATCCTGAGTTCCCTCCATCTAAAAATATTCCCGATTTTAAACCTCTTTAACACTCACTTTCTATAGTACCTGCCTGAGCCTGTGCGGTCCTGAACTCAGCCGCACACTCATTTAGGAGTTTTGGCTCCTGTTCTCCATTTGTAGGGTTTAGTAAGGACGCCACCTTTAATCTAACGTGACCCACAGGACTGCGCAGACACCCCTACTGCTTTCCGCCAACGCGCGGCGGCCGGCCCACTCCCCGACGCAACGCGTAGCCTCCGTGACGCAGCGCGCAGCCTCCGTGACGCAGCGCGCGCCCCCTCCGGCCCCGCCCAGGGCCGCCCCGACGTGCCGCGCGCGGACCCACAATCCCCGCCGTGCACTGTTCTCCCGCCGCCGCCGTCCGTTAGGGCGAGCGCCCCGCCTGCGGAGTCGGCGCTGGCGCCAGGCTCCCGCCGCCGGTGACATGCTGCAGAAACCGAGGAGCCGGGGCCGCCCCAGCGCCCAGGCCGAGAGGGTGAGGGACGGGGGCCGCGGCGGAGACGGCCGGGCCCCGAGAGGCGGCGTCGCCGAGGAGGCCCCGAGCACCTCCCGCGGGGCGGGCGGCTCGCAGGAAGCCCGCAGCACCTCGTCGCAGGGCGCCCGCGGGGCCGAGGCCTCCCCCGCGGTGGGGCCCCGCTCGCAGAAGCAGCTGGAGTTGAAGGTGGCCGAGCTGGTGCAGTTCCTGCTGATTAAGGACCAGAAGAAGATCCCGATCAAGCGGACGGACATCCTGAAGCACGTCGTCGGGGACTACAAGGACATCTTCGCGGACCTCCTGAAACTGGCCGCGCAGCGCCTCGAGTACGTCTTCGGGTACAAGCTGGTGGAGCTGGAACCCAAGAGCAACTCCTACATCCTCATCAACACGCTGGAACCCGTGGAGGAGGATGCCGAGGTGAGAGGCGACCAGGGCACGCCCACCACCGGCCTGCTGATGATTGTGCTGGGGCTCATCTTCATGAAGGGCAACACCATCAAGGAGACCGAGGTCTGGGACTTCCTGCGTCGTCTAGGGGTGTACCCCACAAAGAAGCATTTGATTTTTGGGGACCCAAAGAAACTCATTACTGAAGACTTTGTGCGGCAGCGTTACCTGGAGTACCGGCGGATACCCCACACTGATCCTGTGGACTATGAGTTCCAGTGGGGCCCGCGAACCAACCTGGAGACCAGCAAGATGAAAGTTCTTAAGTTTGTGGCCAAAGTCCATAATCAAGACCCCAGGGACTGGCCAGCGCAGTACTGTGAGGCTCTGGCAGATGAGGAGGCCAGGGCCAGGCCTGGGACCTGTGGCCCAGCCCCCTCCTCTTGAAATCTGAAATAGATTCACGGGGACTCCTGGGGGAAGGGTCAGAGGCACAGTGCGGAGCCCTGAGAGTTGGGGAGGGGGAGCATATTTCTCTAACGCTTAAATGTGTGTAGCTTTACGATGTGTTTGCAAACTTTTGTTCATATTGTAAATTATTTGGTTCCAAATTTTCACTTATAAAAATATTAGGGGAGGATTCATTTTGTTTTGATTTGTTTGACTGACTGTATTTTTTGGTATAAAAATTTTGCTAGCTTTATAAAACTAATTGGAAAACTTTGTACCATGATCTGGAACAGATATTTAAGAAAGAACACATCAGTAAATTGCTTTGGTGTCTAGAGAATAAAAGCGAAGTGGCTATTATCTGGCCTCTTAACTACCAACTACCCCAGTTTGTAAAGAAAAATAAAAGTCTTTATAAATTAAAAATAAAGATGTAATTGCCTATATTCTTTTTTATCTTAGCATAGCTATTTTATATTTATGTACTTTATACGTATATATAAGCATTATGCCTTGTTCTAAGCAATGTATGGCATTTTCTCTGAATAACAATTTTTTTACATTCATAATTACTACTCAGCTCTGTGGCTGACTGTTTATTTCCATTTAGGTTTTTTTCTACTATAGTTATAATAAATACTATATCTTTGAGGTAGTTAAGCATTCTGCATCTTTTAAATTGTGAGTCATGAGAAATTAGTTTCAGGATTCAAAACCAGCGTCTTAAAAAAAATGATTTTTGCTATGTATTATTAAGCTAAATAGTGTTTTATAGAAGTTACCTTTTATATGTGTGTGTGTGCATATTGGATCATGATGTAAAATATATTTCTTACTTTGGGTTATAAAAAAGTTGAGAAAACTTTTATTGATTAATCATGCCTACTTGGGAATGAGACCACCTGGGTTCAGACCCTGGCCCCACGTAACTAGCTGTATGAATTTAGGCGGGTTACTTAACTTGCATACAGACGTTTCCTCACCTGTAAAATGGGCTGATGATGCCTGTATTATGTGTAGTACTGTGATTATTAGATATGGAAGTATATGTAAAGTTCTTGGCACAGTGCCTGCTGTGGAGGATTTTAGGTGTTACTTTGTTTCTTAAAATTTTTTTTAATTTTTTATTCTCCTTGATCTGGAGTAGTTAATTTTGTTAAAGGATTTCTTTCATTATGTTGTTGTAAATCATTCCTACAATTGGAATTACTGGTTCAAAAATTATGACAATATTCTTCTAGTCTGCCTCTATTGTATGGGTTAATGGGGAAACATAACTCATGATATATGGTGAGTATAGCCCACATAAAATAGTAAGAGCAGGAAAGTTAGAGGACGATCTCCCCTGGGCTTTGAGAGGTCCTTGTAGTACAGTGAATAGGATACGGTTTTTGGGGTTGTCTGACAAACTGAATTATGGCTCAGAAATATGGCTATGTCAGCATGGTGATTTGGGGTAGGTTTTAAGCTCTTTGAATCTCAATTTCTTTATCTGTAAAATGGGAAAAATAATAACTATATGATAGTTTGTTATATGGATTAAATGAGCCCAAAGAAAAGAGCTTATTGTCTTTTCTCGTATTCTTCCACAGCCTCTGGCAAAATGCTGTTTATATACAGAGTTTCAACAAATAATTATTCAGTGGGTGAGTAAGTATAATTGTTTGGGGGGCAGGTACTGCAAATTAACCATGAAATGAGGTAAATACTTTAGCTCAGAAAAGAAGTGTGGACTTGGTCAACACTGGACTAGATGTCATCTAGAAGAGTCTGTGGTGGGTGTGTGGTCCATGGAGGAATGTGATAGGTTACTGGGTTTTACGTCATTCTGTTGAATTGAAATTTGCATTTATTTTATCACTGGAGTATAGTGTGTCTTTGAATGTGTTTCTGGTTTGCTTTTTATTTCCACATATAAATTACCTTCTGGCTAAGCATCCTGCTTACTGGTCCCCTTACCTCACTGACTGCTTTTCCCTCTGGTGTGTTCTAATACTGGCCTTTTTTGCATCTGTATGGTGAAAGTTATCAGTACCCCGCACCCATTATCAGTTACATCTGAGGCAAATATCTTCTGCCACACTTTTCTCATAAAGATGTTAACAATTTACCATCAATGAATTATTACTTTGTTTTAGATTTTAAAATATAAAACATTACAGACCAGATCTTGCCCTTATCTTTTCTTCTCACCCTTACCAGAGATGTCGAAAGTTTGTGAATATCGTGCTATTGTATGATTTAATAACTTTTACTGTGTACCTGAACAATATAGAGTAGTGGTTTCTGAGCTTTTATAACTTATATAAGTAGTAGTATACCGTATCCTTTTGCAACTTGCTGTTTTCACTCACCATTGTTTTTGAGATTCAGCTCTGTAGATCTTATGATAATTTGGCCTTTCCAGTCATTCTCTGGGTATGTAGTGATAATTTATTGTAGTATTAACTTGCACCTCTTGCTTACTAGTGACATTAAGCATCTTTTGCTTTTTTTTTTTTTGCCATCAGTTTTTATATGTTAGACTTTTAGACTTTTTCTGTTTTTATCGATTTGTAAGATTTCTTTATATGTTCTGCATGGTAATCATTACCTGCTATATCTAATGCAAATACCTTCTCACATTTTCACTTTTTCTTTTTTGTCTTACAGATTTGATTTTAATATGTCAAAATCATCAGTGTTTTAAGGGCTATGTTTTTTTGTGTAGTGCTTTAAAAAATTCTCCCTAATCCTAATATTGTAAAGATATTTTCTAATATTTTCTAGTATAAGTGTTCAAAATTTTGACTTTCATATTTATGTTTTTAATCTGTTTTTGTGTATGATGTGGGGTATGGATATAATTTTCGTATTTTTCCTATATGGATTACCTAGCACCCATTTTTCATAGTTTATCTTTTCCACCCTGATTTATAATAAGCTCTGTTATATAGCAATGTCTTATAAATAAATTTATGGCTAGGACAGAATTGGTTTATTTGCTATCCATTTGCTGATAACATGCTGTTATAATTCTGTAGCATCATAATATAAGGTTTTTTTTCTGCTTTTTCAATTCTTATACCTTTTACTTTAGTCTTATCTTTTTTGCACTGGCTGGAACTGCAATACATTATTGGAAAAAAGTGGCGACAGCAGCCCTCAAGAATGTTCCTGATTCCTTGTTCCTGATTTTAAAGGGAATAATTTTTAATGTTTTGCATTGTGTTGTTTGCTGTTAATTTTTTTCCCCATAAATACCTTTAATTGGGTTATTTAATTGCCCTGCTGTTCATAACTTGCTTAGAGATGTTTAGAAAAATTATGAATGGCTTTTTAAATTTGTAACATGCCCTTTATTAATCATTTACTGTGATTAAATTTTTATTTTTACTCAGTAAATTTGGTATAGTTTATAGTTTTAGGTATAGTTTAGTGTAATAACACTGATATGTTTATCTGATATCTAACCATTCTTGCATTCCTGGGACAAACACTTCTTTTTGAGGATGCATTTAAAAAAATACGTATTTTTTTATTTGCTAAAAATTTATAAATTTTGTATCTTTGGTCATAAGGGGAATTCGTAATTTTCCTATATTGTACTGTCTATTTGTTTATTTAGAAACAATATCAGACTTACAGAAAAACTGCAAGCACGGTGCAAGGAATTTTTTTTCTCCTTGAACTATATGAGTGCATTTGGTTATCATGTTTCTTTAGTCTCCTTCAGTCTGCAGGGAGTTCCTCAGTCCTTCCTTGACTTTCATGATCTTGACACTTGAGGAATACAGGCTTATTATTTTGTAGAAGATCCCCCAGTTGGGGTTTGCCTGCTGTTTCTTGATCAGATTCAAGTTATGCATCTGGCAGGAATATCACAGAAGTGATGCTGTGTTTTTCTTATTGAATCCTGTCAGTGGCACAAAATTTCCGTTTGTCCTGTTACTGTATAACTTTGATCACTTTGGTTAAGGTGATTTTCTGCTATTCCTGTTCACTGTGATATTTTCCCTTGCCCTTTGTAATAAACAAGTAACTTGTATGGAGATAATTTGAGACTTTGTAAATATTGTATTCCTCACTAAATTTTCAATTTATTCACCTATTTTTATCTGTGTAGACTCATGGGTTGTAATCTTTTACTATCATTATTTTGATAGTCCATTTGTCCTTGATTTGGCCAGTAGGAGCATTTTAAAGCTGGTTTTTGTGTCTTCAACATGCCCCCATCGTTTTGGGGGCACTTCCTTACTACCTGGCCCAAAAAGATCATTCAGCCCTATCTTGAACTTTCCCTGCCCCAGACCTGCAATTAGCCATTTCTCCAAAGAGCTCTGGTTCCTTTTGGTAGAGATTGGAATTTAGAAACAAGGTTGCAGGATTTGCTCATGTGTTCTAGAAGTATCATTGCTTCTAGACCTCTAGATGACAGTTAGGAAAGTCTGTCCGTCTGTCTTATCATCTACTGAAAACCATGAGATTATGTTGATAACACCACAGTGTTCATTCTGTTTTTCTCCCCTTCTATATTTGTATCTATCTTCTCCAACAGTGAGAAACTCAGATCCTATTATCCATATAATATTTATTTATTTGATCAATCCCCCTGTAAATAACCAATCTCCTATCCTGGCTGCCACACCCTCCCACATGGGGATGCCCTTTGCTCCCCACTGGGGAGCAGACATCCCACAGGAACTGCCCTTCTGGGCATGCATCCTCCTCACAGTGCTTGGGCTCCAACACCCTACTCTGGGTCCCTCACCTCTCAGTCTCCCTTCCCCACACACATCTTGTTCTATTCCACTTAATGACTTTAGCAGTGAATTGTTCAGGAAATAGAAAACATTATTCTAGTGCCATAAATGAGCTGGAGAGCTTTTCTTTTCCCATACTAAGGATTAAGTGTTTTTGAAGGTTTGGAAGAAATCTACCAAGGGCCTATTGTGAAAGGCTCTGGGCCTGTTGTTTTTGGTGGGTAGATTTTTAACAACTGATTTTGTTTCATTAACAGTATGTTCAGGTTTCATCTTCTTTACAAATTAGTTTGGTCATTTGTATTTTCTAGAAAGTGCTTTCACCTACTTCCTGATGTTTTAACATAAAGTTGTTCTTAGTATTCTCCTTTGATTTAAAAATAATAGTATTACATCTTCCCTTACATCTACGTTTGCAGACTCAGTATTATTTTTACCTTCACTCTTTTTTTCTAGAGCCGGTTGTGCCAGGAGTTTTATTCACTTTAAGAGTATTTTCAAGAAATTTTGTTTTATTGCTCTTCTTTACTGTTTCCTTTTATAATTTTATTACTTTCTATTTCCTTTCCTTTTACTTTCTTTGGGTTTATTCAGTGGTTCTTTTTATTATTTCTTGAGTAGTTCATTGATTTTCAATTCTAATTCATTTAAGACAATGTATTTCCTTCTATTTACAACTTTACTCACATTCCAGAAGTTCTAATATGTAGTATGTTTGTTATATTCAGTTCTGAATATTTTCCAATGTCTGTTATGATTTATTTTTTATCTATAATTGCAAATGAGTGATTTTTTAAAATTTTTCAAATATTTGAATTTTTAAGCATTCTTCTTTGTTGCTGGTCTCTAACTTTTTAAAATTGCTTTGAGGCGCTGGCCCCATGGCATAGTGGTTGAGTTCTGCGTGCT